ACCAGGATGTCTGATAGCCACATCAAACTCCAAAATAAACCTCTGGATTTTTCTCTAAGCTTTCTCTTCTCCCAGCCTTTTCCATCTCAGTAAATGGCAACTCCATTCTTGTTTGGTCTCAAATCTTGGAATCACCTTCGACTCTTCTGTTTCTCTGACATGCCACAAAATATATCTGGATTCTCTTGTTTAACATGTACATGGAGTTTAGCTTCTTCCGGTAGGCTCCTGCCACCATCACCCATGCTACCATCCCCCCACTGGATTTCTGCACTGGCCCCTAACTACCTGTCCCCTTTCCACTGCTGCACTGTTCCAGTTGATCTTCTGCCTAGTAGTCTTTTTAAAACAGAAGCTGTGGGGCACCTGGGTGGCTCAGTCATTAAGCATCTGCCTTCGGCTCAGGTCATGATCCCTGGATCCTGGGATAGAGCTCCGTATCGGGTTCCCTGCTCAGCGGGGAGCCTGCTTCTCCCTCTCCCACTCGCCCTGCTTGTGTTCCCTCTCTCACTGTGTCTCTCTCTGTCAAATAAATAAATAAAATCTTAAAAAAAAAATAAAACAGAAGCTGGATCAATTCTCTTTTCTGCTCAAAACCTTCCAGTGGCCTTTCAATCTCACAAGAAGAAAAAAGCCCTTCACGTCAGGCCCCTGGCTCCTTTTCCTGCTACTCCTTGGCTTACTTCATGCCAGTCAACTGGCATCATTTTTATTCCTGGAATATAGCACCCTTGATTTTGCCTCTGTTCCTTTGTGCTTGATATTCCCTCTACATGGAATGCTCCTTCTTCTGATATTTGCATCCCCACCCCCCAGCCCGCTCCCCTGCTCCCTGGCTTCATTAAGTTTTCTGATCACATGTCACCTTAACTGAGCAGCCTTCTCTAAAAAGAACATACACTCAACTCTCTCCCCACCTTCTTTTACTTAGGCTCGGTAGCTGTCATTTACCTGACTTGCTAGCAGCCAGGTATGGGCATGTGCCCAGGTCCTGGCTAATGGGGTGTGAGGGGAAGTGGTAAGTGTGACTGGCAGGACAAGCCCTGAAGTGGAGTCATGGGCCCTCTATTTCTCCTTTTTTTCTGGCCCAATGCCTGGAATCTAATGTGATGGCAGGAGCTGGGGAAGCATTCTTAGGTCAACAGGTAGAAGATGTGTGTGGAGATAGCAGAGTTATCTGGGTCCTTGATACCTTATCAGCTCTGGAATGCTTACATTTGAATGGCCACATAAGAGAAGAAACATTCATCATGCTTAAGCCATTTTTATATTACCTTTGTTAGAGAAGTCAAACTATAGTCTAATCCAGATATGTTTTTGGGATATCTGTCTGTCCTTCCAACCCTTACCAGACTCAAGACTGGCATATACGTTCCATGAGGGTAGCAGCTGTGTTTGGTTCATTGTAAACAGCTTCTGGAACAGTGTCTGGCGCACTAAACATTCAATAAATGTTTGTTGAATGAATGAAAACAGCAAAGCCATCAACATGAGGCAGAGTCTTGGTGAGTGCTGCCCTGAGGAAGCACAAGGCTGGTCAGTATAAGCAAGTGATGGCTATGGCAATGTTCTCTGTGTGTGGTTGGGTTTCTATTCTGACTGAATCACAAAGGCAGGATACAACCTGCTATATCCTTTATCTGAGAGGCATAAATACTTGTAAGAGGGTTGTGTGTTGCTTTTGTAATTTAAATGAAGACTCCCAAGTAAAGTTCATTGTTGTAATGAAATCAGGTCACAGAGTCATGGAAAACTGTGACAAGGTTCACACTGATGAGGGAAGGTCACAAGTTGCATGCTAAGCACAGATGGAGAAAAGGAGCGTGTATGCTGAGATCTTGAGATGTGTGGCTGAGATGTGCATCAGTCTGGATGGCAAAAACTGATAGCTGGAAGAACCACAGACAAAGAATTGCACAAATTGAGTCAAAATGAAACAGAAACATATCACAGGGTATCAGCAAGATGCTTGGGGGTAAATGCTGCAGACAGAAAGCCACGGAGTTCCTGGGTGAGTAAGAATATAAAGAGTTATAGTTGCCAGGATAATATTTTTGGTATCAAATATCTTTTTCATGCTAGTAAGTTTGTTTTGAACACTTTAATTATATAGATCAACTAATGTAAACAATTTAATACATGGTGGCTTTAAAAACATATGTAGTAATGAGATTTTGTAGGTTTGGGATTAAACCACCTTAATTTAAAAATGTTCTATTTCCTGGGTAAGGAAAGTTGCAAAGGTTAGGCTATCTTGCCATACCACACCCCCTTGGGTGTGATATTACTGAAATAAAACAAGTCAAGATTTGTTTAGTCATTTTATAATATATACGTAACTTCTGGTAACAGTTACTGGTATGAGGTTTCTCTTTGTTGAGTAATTAGCTAAAGAGTTCAAGCGAACTTTTTTAATAATGTGCCTCTTTACTTTAAAATTTCTTAGTAACCATAATTTCTCCTTTCTAGAAACATATTAACATTTATATTCAAAGCACAAGGAGAGCTTTAAGATTAGGACAAAGCACTGAAAATTAGTAACAAGAGTTACTTCTTTGTCTTTGCCTCACTCTTGTGCCTAGTTCTTGCTTGAATTTTGGTGAGACCTCTGATCATGTGTACTGGATATGCTGGAATGATTAGAGGGTGGGGTGACAATACATGTGACCCTTTTTATGGTGGATCACTTATCTGAACATTTCATGTTGAGGCCACCCTGTCATTTCAGATAGGTTCCAGGATGTAATTCAAAGTGATCAAAATATGGTCTCATATAAAACTCCTTCCTGAGGGGAATCACGACTTTTCCCATTTAGCACTTTTTTTTTTTTTTGTCCAAAGGTACTTCAAGTAAAGCCTTGTTAGCATGGCAGAAGAGGTGTACTTTACTGGAACTAGTTTATGACACAGGTCCCACCTTTGGTAATTGTTATTATGATATTTACATGAAGTAATTTATGCACAGAGATACCTTGTAAACTACAAAGATGTAAACAAACACGTGGATTATTATTATTGTGATAATAACTTCATTGGGAAAGGAGGCAGCTTGGTGGAGGGTTTAAGAATTTCAGGCTGGGAGCAGCCTGCTGGCTCATTGGGGAAGAGGGTGTGACTCTTGATCTCGGAGTTGTGACTACAGGCCCCACGTTGGTTGTAGCGATTACTAAAAAAAAAAGATAAACTTAAAAACAAAAAAAGAATTTCTGGCTGGAAGACGTGGACCCTGTTACCCGAAGGAAGGTAGGCCCTCCCCTGCGGAAGAAAGGTAGAGGTCATTTTGAGGGAGGATAAGCCTGAGGCTCCAGGTATGGAGATGACTCTATTAAGAAATCAGTGAAGTTGGGAGGTTTCATTCCCAGGAAAAGTGGTTTGACTTTATAGTAGCTATTGCCTAGAGAAGACCCATGCATGGTGGCACAAAGTGACACTTCAAAAACAAGCTAGGACTATACATTTGTTTCATTTGGTGGCTCAGATAATGAACCCTAATTGTACTCAGTTTACTTAGTGAAGAGAGGATGTTTAGTGAAATACATGTGTCATTGATCAAAACTTAAAATATATATAAAAAAAATATACTATACTCATCACTTCTTGAAGTAAGAGTCTTTGCCAAGGTGCTGGTTGTGCAGTAAATAAGCCTCAGCTTAGAATCTTACTGAAATGCAAACCTTGCTTTCTTTGTGCTGTTTCCCTGTACACTCAACACAGTGTTTTGGAAACCTTCAGTTATCTAAATTCCCATCAGGTGACATTGTTTAATCTAACATTCTCTCTTTCATATGTGAAAACAGCTCTAAGGACAAACCTTGGAGATGCTTTGAACTCTCTGGTGGTTGGGAGGGAGTTTCCAATCTCTCTCCCTTTCCTCTGTCCCCCCCTCCCCCCATTGTCAGGAAAAGCCTCTGGCAGCTTTCCCCCAACCCACCCTCCCACCCTACCCCAAGCCAGGGCACAAGGGGAAAGAACCTTTGACCTTGGCCAAAAAAAGTCACTGTCTAATCAGTGAGCATTTTAGTCCACCAGGAATCCACATGTGTAAAAGTTACTTGGAATGAACTTTTTTCTCATCGGTGTGAAAATTTAGGTCTTTGATATTGAGAGGAAAAGACTATGCTTTAAAATAACGAATACACCTATTTCAAATCTTGTGACGAAAGTATGAAAACAGAGCCCCTCACCTAAAAAGTCTGCAAAATATTTTATTTTGAAGACAGCAATAACTGAAAAAAAACAAAAACAAAAACAACCCAAAACGACAAAAAGGTTTCTTTCAGGTCACATCTTAAGAAGATCCTAGGATTATGCAAAGGTCTAAGACCCCCAACCCCGCTGCTTTCTGAGGGCCTTAGAAAGATTAACAATATGTTTTAAAAACTGAGGCGCCTCCCTTTTTAAAAACAACCCGCTGCATTCTTTTCCTCAATCATATTGTCCCATTATCACTCATCTAAGTTATACTTTATAAACTGCTTTGATGTGGTACACACATGCAAAAAGTACACAAAGTGGATAAACTTCTACTGTCAATGCTGCTGTAGAGGTATATATTTAGTAAACATTTAGTTACATTATTTTATTTTTGTGAAATGAGAACTGATCGACCAAACCTTTCAAACAGACCCACCAGACGATAAATACCACCATATGTTTGATTCACAGTACATTTGGGCATAAACATTTCAATTACAGCTTTGTGTTTAGTATCAAAAACCTTTTCTTGTGTGCGTGTGTTTTCTCTACAGATCCCGTGCTCTGGATTACATTCTGAAAATCGCTTATTACAGATAAAGCCCCTTTCCAGGTACGCTTCCGAGAAACATATGTATTTATGCACACAAAGGTGTGTGCAGATCTTTTCACAAACAAATGCCCATATGATGCCTGCGTCGCGCTCCCCTGCACATGCCCACCGCGTGGTGTGCCCCGCCAGCCACGCCGCGCAGCCCGGGGTGCCCATGGGGACAGGCTTGCCCCCGAACATGCGGGAGCCCCTCGGGCCTCCCCCGGAAACTTAACCGGCCTTTCCACTCCGGCTACGGCGAGAGCCTCCCCGCCCCCACCGGGCCTCGGGCCGCGCGGCCAACACCCAAGCCGCCCCGCACCCGGCTGCGCGCGGCGGTGGGGGTGGGGCGGCCAGTGCCCCGGCGGCGCCTCGCAGCGCCTGCGGGTCTTTATTTTTTTTAAAAGACTGCGCCGCACCGTTCCAGCCCCCAGCGCCGCCAGGGCGGGCGGGAGCGAGAGGAGCGAGGCCGGCGGAGGGGACCCACCCCCCCCGCCGCGCCGCCGCCGCCGCCCCCGCCCCCCCCGTCCGCGGCGCCCCTCCCCCGCCGGCCCCTCCCCCGCGCGCCCGCCCGGCGCAGGCCGCTCGGGTTTGTTTTGCTGCGCGGCCGCCGCCGCCGCGGGCCTCGCGAGCTCATTTGTGCCTGGCTGGTCCCCATTCCTCTCTCCCCAGTGTTGAGTGTCTGAGCCGTTGGCTGCTCCGAACCGTTTGGCTCTTTCCCTTAGTAACAGCTTTTACCTTCTGCCTCAATTCCTCTCCCCGCTCGCGCCCTTCCCCCGCGCGCCGCCTCCCCCCGCCGCCGGCCGCGTGCGCCCCCGCCCCTCCCCCCGCGGCGGGAGCACCTCCGCTCGCCACCTGGGGACCCGCGCCGCGCTCCCCGCCCCCGCCCGCCCGGCGCCCATCCCCCGCGCCCTCCGCTCGCCGGGGTTATAATTGCCTCTCACCCCCCGGAGGGGTTATTTTGGGGGTGGTTGGAGGCGGCGGCGGCGGCGGCGGCGGCGAGGAGGGGAATTTCCTTGTGCCTCCATTCCCGGGAGGGGGGAGCGGCGTCGGAGGCCACCGTTTCCAGGTAAGCGCTGGGGGCCGGACCCCGGGGTGGGGGCGGCCGCGGGCCGGGGCTGGGGGCGCGGGCGGAGGCGGCCGGGGGGGCGCCGGGCCGCGGGGGGATGGGCGCAAGTGGAACATGCATTTTTCAACTTGGCCCTTTGGGGAGCTGGGGCTTTGGTGGGGGAGGGGGAGGCAGGGAAGGCATTTAGGGTGCCCCATCCCCCCTTTTTCGTCTCGGGCTTCTTTGAAATGCTCACGTGCCTGCCCACCCCTACCCTTTCCTGATCTCGGGGGATCCTCACCCTTATGTTGTCCCCGAAAATGTGCACCTCGGCCTTCTCCCCCGCTTCCACCCTTCGTGCATCTACACCCCCTTTTTGTGTGTGTGTGTGGGGGGAGGCTTTCAGGAAAGAATTTGCAGCAAATTGAATCAAGGAGCCATCATGAGGCCGACTCTTTTATAGCCTATTTTTAGCAGAGGAGAGGGATCTTTTCGGTGCCTGTTATCCTGTTAGCAATGGAAATCTGCTCCCCTCCCCGGGCGCGTCCCCGGTGCAGGCGCGGCGACCCGGGCCGGCGTGCTGGGGGCTGCGGGCGGCTGTTGGGGCCGTGCGTCCCGGGCGGGGGCGCCGGCGGGGGAGGGGCGCGCGCCGCCGGGCCGCACTCCGGGACGTGTTTATTTGTAACTTAGCGCCTTTATCGTCTTAAGGAGGTATTTGTTAGAGCCTCTTTGAAGTTGGGCTCAGAAGTGTAGAATTGGCAAAGTTATTGCCAGCTTCCTGGTAAGTTTTGGGTGGCACCAAGTCACATTATTTTCTGACAGTGTAAAGGCCACGTTGTGAGGGTGGTTTCTCGGTAACTTCCTCTTTGCAACCGATGTCATTTTTTTTTTTAACAGAAGCAGACTTTTATTCAAGTGAAATTATTAATCTTAAATGGCAGCTCGAGGGAAACCATGCATGTGTTAACATGTTCAGTATTTTTGGAAGTTCCTAATTTGCTGAAAGAGGCATCACTTTGCAGTGGCAACCGAGATTAAATTTAGGTTGTGAAAATGGTGTGTTTCATGTAAAATTTGGGTTGTAATGGCTCTTAAAAGAATGCTCCTTTTACTAGGTTACCTAATAACATTCTCTAAAATAATTTGGTGATTACAAATGACAAGTGTCGGAAACTAGTTAAAAATTAGATTTTTTTCAGTATCTGGAGTTTACTTCATACTTAAAATCTTGGACCGTGCAGGCACCAAGGTGAGGAGTTTTAGAACCTATGTCATTTACAGCCGACTTAGGGAAGTTTACTATTGGTTTTCTTGTTTTCCAAAGAACCTTCTGTTGTCCTAAACAAGCTTGTTAATAAAATGTGGTGGGTGAAATGATAGGTTATTTTTAGTCTGAATTGCCTATCTCCCCCCCCCCCCATGTAATTAAGTAATCATTTGCCGCCTCCTTTTTTCCTAAAGACTCCTTTATCAGATTGGATAATATAAGGCCCTGGTGGTGTTTTCATCTCCTTACTAAAGCAAATTATAAAAAATATCCTGGTTACACATTGAAGATACAGCAAGTGACTTTTTGGCTTTCCCAGTGTGGTTCATTTTCATTTTTATTAAATAAGAGCTGTGCTACATTGGTGTATTTTAGTAATCCTTATTTCCTGGGACTGTGTGTTCTCACCATTTTAATAAGTTTATAGTCTAGGGAAATAGCGCAGCTTTGTCTCCATGAAAACTGTGTCTGTTGTGTTGTATCATGGGAGTTCATGACAAGCAAGCTTAGGAGATCATCATTGAGGGTTCTAGACATAGTTACCATTTACCTGTGGAGGATGTGTGGCGGAAAGAAAATATGCCTGAGAGTGGTTAGGCATGTGATGTGTGTTTATACTTTTTGCTCTGAAATCGTGTTTTCCTGCCTGTTTGGAATATGATTTTTTTTCCCAGTTTTCTGTAATGCCTTGTTTGATGTATGTAACCACAACTATTAAATCCACAAATAACTTTTTTTTTTTTTTTGTGCTGTTTGAGTAGTTAGATTCAGACTTACAGAGCAAAATGCTATACTGTATGGAGTATTAAAACAAATGTATGTGGAGAAAGTTTTCCTTACTGTTACGGAACTTAATTAATGGACTTGTTCATGGCTTAAAAATTGTTGCAAGGGTCACCATCAGTTTATAAGATTGTTTTCTTCTGTCAGATACCAACTTTGGTTATTAATACGGGAGACACATGTGGTAAATTGTGTGGCCCTTTGTGGAGCTTGTATTTTTGCATTGGTTGCCTCAAAGAAGTGAGAAACAAAAATAACTTTTTACATGTGTCCAGGACTTTGTTACTGTGTTCTCAACATCTAATGAAGGTTTATCATGATTACCTTGATAATGTGCCCACCAAGAGAATAAGAAGTAACTAAATTCTGGGGGCCTTTCAAGCTAATAAGCAGAAAGGGCAAAAGCTTAATATAAATACAGGGGTTACTGATAAAAAGAGATGTGACTAATGGACCTTTGGAACAACAACCTGTTGAATAAATATATCTGTTCATATATAGCAATGAAATATAAGTACAACCTTATCAAATGAATAGCTGACAAAGGAATTCTACTTGTACAAGTTAACTCCCACAGTATTACTACAAAGAATTTTTGACCTGATGCACTTTGATGAAGTTAGTAGAAATAATTTGTTGGGTTTATTCAATTCCTGTGTTTTTTATATAAAAGTTAGAGGAATGTAAAGGACAGTAAGTCAGGGGAGAGATGCCAGAAATATTGACACCATCCGGGACTGTATTTTTCTAGTACATGTGAATTTGACTCCTTTCATGAATAATATCTACAGTTAACTGAAATGCAAAAAAAAGAAATCAGTAATATTAAGATGTTTATACGTTCCCATAGTATAGAAGGGTTAGGACCAAGGGCTGTTAAGTAAGAGTATGGTCCAGTTTGGAGACCACCATGGTGGTACCTCCTAACGCCAATAGAAACTTGAGGGTTTTAGCTATGTGAGAGAACTGATGCTGGAGAGGTTTACTATACACCACCTATGGGATTAGACTCCAGAAGAGTACAATTAATTACCCTGTAACCAAGAGCCAGAGGAAAGGGACTTCACTTGGGTTATGCTCTAGGAAAGGTGTGAGGTGCTTTCTGTGTCATACTTCAGGCTAATCCTATGAACTCTGCAGATAATGGAACAGAGAGGTACAAAGTTAATTCACTTGTCCAAGGCCACAGAGCAATCAAATGATGCATTAGGGTTCAAATCTAGGTCTGTCTAAACCCTAGTCTGTGCTCTTTCTAGATGACTGTAGCTGTGCCACATTTTTCCAGCTGTTTTGTCAGTTTTGTCTGTCAGTGTCCTTGCAGAAAATTAGCGTTTTTAATCAAATTTATAATTCTGAAGTTGGGCATCTCTACTAACTGGGTCAAGTAATTGCATGGATAAATGGAATTCATAGGACTCAAACATTATTGTATTTAACTATGGAACCATTTAATAAGGTGCAGTCTTCTTGCAAACTGCTGTGTTTCCTGTCTTAAGATTGACAGCGGTGAAGTAACCTCTCCCAAGTACTGGCAGCAGAAATAAGAAAATATGGTTTTATGCCTACAGTGAAGAAGGAAAAGCAAATAAGAGTATGCCTAACTATCTTTCCGAGTACGTATTCCTGAAAACTTGTGTAAGAACATCACATTAAAGCTTTTGTGTAGCATAATGGTCCATCAGGGGTCCTTGAGGCAAACTGCCTGGGTTCAAACTCAGGCTCCATCCCTTACTAGCTATGCAACATTGGGAGAGTAACTCCGTCTTTATCTCCGTTTCCTCTTCTGAGTAATGGGGACAGTCAACTTCGTAAAGTTGAGATTGAGAGAATTGTGCTGAGAATAGTGCTTGACATATAAGCATCATGGAAATGTAGGCTGTTCAGGATGATGATGATGGGTTTGGATTTGAAGTTTGCTTCTTTGTATTACATTTTATGTGCTTGTTGTTTATATTAGTGGGGACACTTCATAGAAAACATTTGGCGGTTTTATTTCCTGAGTAAAATATTTGAAATAAAGTTAGCTTAATGTTATTTACTCTTGAAGTTGTGATTGAAGGCTTACCTTGAAGGATTAGATTGGATTTAACGCCAAGTAGGAACGATCTCAAGTTACATTGTGTAGGCACAGTGCTGGGTCTTTTGGGTGACTTTTATTGTTGTTCTTTTGTCAGTTGGGCATGGACTTCTTAAGTCTTGCACCATTTGAAACCTTTTCCAACTCTTTAAATAAAGGAATTTTGTTTTTCAGGGCTGGAGCAACCAGTACACCTAGGATCTCCTTTTTAGATTGGCGTGATGACTTTAAGTAGGTTATTGTTTTCTCCAGGCTTGACCTTTCATCTGTGTTCTTGTTCTATATTTTCAGCTGCTGTCAAGTCAGTTCTATTTGAAAGTTCTGTTGCTCTGAAGTATCTGTAAGCCTTGTCTTATGTTCACTTCCCATTTTTAATTCAGCAGTAATGTTAACTACTAATATAATTTATGTGTGAGGCCTACACAGCTTCTTTGACAAGGACTTTGACAATTTGAGTGGCTGATACCCAGATTTTAAGAGCTAGGAAACCTAGGCTCAGGGAGTAAGGGATGCACAGAGGGATTTAGGCCCAACGTGTCTGATTTTTATAGGCCAGTGTTCTTAACTAGCAGTTTACGGTCCTCACTGTGAATGAATGAAAGACTGAATGAATGGTTTTAGATCTGAGTTATTACATTAATTTTCTTTCTTTTTTTTTAAGATATTTATTTGAGAGAGAGAGCACAAGACCGGGTAGGGTCAGAGGGAGAAACAGACTCCCTGCTGAGCAGGGAGCCCGATGCGGGATCATGACCTGAGCCGAAGGCAGTTGCTTAACCAGCTGAGCCACCCAAGCGCCCATTACATTAATTTTCTAGTGGGTTGCTCTGTGCAGCGTTTCTTCTCCATTCTGTCTTCTGTAACTTCTTGGCAGTGTAATTTATTTAAAGTACT